GACCGCTGTCACATCTGACCGCTGTCACATCTGACCGGTCTCCTTTGTCTTATCTGATCTTATCTGATCTTGTATTATCTTGTATTATCTTGTCTGATCTTATCTGATCTTGATCCTTATCTTATCTTATCTTATCTTATCTTATCTTATCTTATCTTATCTTATCTTATCTTATCTTATCTTATCTTATCTTATCTTATCTTATCTTATCTTATCTGATCTTGTCTGATCTTGTCTGATCTTGTCTGATCTTGTCTGATCTTATCTTATCTGATCTTACGTATCTGACCACTGTCGCGCGTCTGACCTCCTCCTCGTCTCCTTTGTCATGCAGGGTCTAATAGAGAGAGGAGAGAAGCTGAGTGAGGTTGAGGAGAGGACGGCTCAGATGCTCGCAAACTCCGAGAACTTTGCCTCCGTCTCTCATCAGATGATGGTCAAATATAAAGACAGGAAGTGGTATCAGTTCTGATGCGGCCGTCACCAGGTGGCGCCGGGCGCGAGTCCGAAGCGTCCGCACGATACTGCGATCAGCGCTCTAGCTGATGGATGCGCTTAGGTGGCGCCTAGGTGGCGCCTAGGTGGCGCTAGCAGCAATCTCGAGTCGGTGCCCCTACCCCATATTAAATCACCTTACTCACCACTAGCGGATGTTATAGTCGTGTCGAGCGCGTAACCGTGGTTACCGATAGCTGTGCGTAGTCTGCGTTGATCGTGATTGGGCGACGTGATATTTTTAATGCGCGGCGGCGGCGGCGGCTTTGTCCGAGTAGAAATTGTTAACGGTTGGTTGTTGGTGGCTGTTCCATCGTGCGGTCTCACTCCCTGCTGCATTACCAGCTAGCTTGTGTAATACTCTGACTATAAGTAGCAGATTATGACTTAATTTGTCCAACACAGTCGGATGTCAGAACAATTTCAGTAGGGAGTGGGAGTATTTGACAGAATGGCAGTCTGCTGGAAGTATGTAGGGAGTGGAAATACAGGATGGAATAGCCGAGTCTAGGGCCGTACGTAGGGACTTGAGAGATGTGAATCTCGACTTTGTATATATCAGTAATAAATCACGGTTTAATCATATTTCATGTTAAAAATTGTACAAAGTAATATATAATAATGAAATACATGATGCATATACATATAAATATATATGTATGTATATATATATATGTATATATATATGTATATATATATATATATATATATATATATATATATATATAGCATTAATAATGTGTATTTGAAATATTAACATGAGAGTGTAATCTCAATATTGATTGAATAAGTATGCACACATATATATATATGAATGATTTGTTGTTAACTTCAATCCTGGGTGTGAAAGTGTGTGCATGTGCATGTGCATGCGTGCGTGTATGTGTGCGGGTATATATATATATATATATATGCACGTTCATGTACGACCGAGTGTACGTACGTGTGTGAGTGCCCGCGTGCGTGCACGTACGTGTGTGCGTGCGCGTGCATGTCTGTTAGTGTGGGTGTGTACATAGTGCAGAGCAGGGCAGAGCCAGAATCAGATATAGACAGGCAGACAGACAGACAATGAAGGCAGCTGAGGCGCAGGTCAGGCAGGCAGGTCAGGCAAGGCAGACAGCGCAGGCGCGCGCAGGCAGGCAGGCCAGGACGAGGCAGGCAGGCATCAGGCAGGATGCAGGCCAGGCAAGGAGGGAGGCAGGCAGGCGACATTGACAGGCAGGCAGCCAGACGGCAGAACAAGACATCGAAGTCAGCAGCAGGCAGGCAGAACAGATCATGAAGGCAGACAGACAGACATGACGGAAAGGGGAGGCAGGCAAGGCAGGCAGCGTACAGACAGGCAGCAGCAGGCAGGACAGGCAGAGGCAGACAAGGCAGGCAGGAGGGAGCGCAGGCAGGCCAAGGCAGGCAGGCAGGCAGGCAGGCAGCAGGCAGGCAGACAGGCTTGAAGACAGACAATGAAGGCAGGCAGGCAGGCAAGGCAGGCAGGCAGCGCAGGCCAGGCAAGCAGGCAGGGCCCAGGCAGGCAGGCAGGCAGGCAGGCACGGAAGGCCGGTAGGCAGAGCCGACGTGTAACCAGGCAGACATTTTACAGGCAGGCTATGTAGACATTTAGGCAGCAGAAACATGTAGAAATTTAGGCAAGCAGAATCGTAGAGGCAGGGCAGACAGGCAGACGTTGTAAAGTCAGGCAGACGTGTAGGCAGGCAAGGACATGTAGAACATTTATATGCAGGTCAGACATGTAGAAATTT